ACAGGCAATGTAATTTCTTTCCTCCTGAATCCCACTTACCTAGAATTTCAAATACTTCTTTTTTTTTTTTTTAAAGTTTATTTTGAGAGAGAGAGTGGGAGAGCATGCAGGAGGGGCAGAGAGAGAGGGAGACAGAGAATCCCAAGGAGGCTCTGCACTGACAGTGCACTGACATGGGGCTCAAACCAACGAACCACAAGATCATGACCTGAGCCAAAATCAAGACTCAGACGCTCGACCGACTGAGCCACCCAGGTGCCCCTCAGATATTTCTGACTATCATTTTCAAGCATGAGGTGTCTCTCAGAGCACTGAGATTTTTGTAGAACAGAGGTAAACTGTATCTTCAAAAAAGTATCTAGATCTCAGGATGCTATGGGCTGGATTGTGTCCCTTCAGAATTCACATGTTGAAGCCCTCGTCCCCCATGTGACGGTGCTGAGGCCTTTCAGGGGGATTGAGGCTAAATGAGGGCATCAGGGTAGAGTCCTGATCCAATAGAACCAATGCCCTGTTTACAAGAAGAAAAGACACCAGAGCCCCCTGCACGCACTGAGGATGAGAAGAGGCCATGGGGGCACACAGGCAGCCACCTGCGAACCAGGAAGAAGGCCCTCACCAGAACTCAACCATGCGGCACCCAAATGGCAGGCTTCCAGCCTTCCGAACTGTGACAGGTGAATTTCTGCTGGTGATAAGTTACCCAGTCTGTAGTAATTTTTACAGCAGCCCCAGCAAACTAATAAATGTGATATATGGGATCATTGTCATGTTTAGAGTAATTAGGGGCACAAAAGGATCACTATGAAGGTGGCATCTCTCAGACTCTCCTTGTCAGTTCCAGGGCCTAGTGGGCATCTGTTATTTTGTCTGCTCTGCCTCCCTGATTCCCTTGGGGAACTCCTTCAGCCCGTCTATCTAGTTCACGTAGAATCATCCATCGCAATTTGCTGCCCTGCATTGACCACGGGCTCACTCGTCACCGTACCCTATCACCCCCACAATGGTGATCATAACTGGTACAGTGGCACGGTGCTATACCAACAGGACTTATCCGAGCCCTTCTCCACAGTTACATTCAGTGCCTGCCATGTATATTTAATATTCACTGAGACAACCTGCTTTTTCTGCAAGTCTTGCTGAGCTAGGATCATAAAAGCCTGGTTGAGTGTAGAAAGCCTGACTGTAACGGGAGAGGATGAGGCCGAGACACAGAGGAGAGGAAGAGAGCAAGGGAGTGTTATTTAAACGCCTGATTCCAGCTGTGAGTCACGCCTCTGCCAGCCCCAGTTGGATGAGCCAGTAGATTTCTTCTCATTAAGCTTAAGTTAGCTTGGGTTTGATTTCTGTCACGTGCACCCAAGAATCTTGACTTACACAAGAGGCTCACAAGTCTCTCTGTGTCCTTTGTGGACCAGATTTGGCCAGAACCCAGGCTGAGGGCTGCTTTCACCCTCCCAAATGGACATCCGATCCTTTTCTTTTCAGACAACAGGAAAGGGAGGGGTTGTTATCCCCAAACTTCCCATGGCCAGATATATGCTTTCCCTGCTCTAGCCTTAGGGTTTCCCTGGCTAAAACTCTCAACTTTTTATCTTTGAAACGGGAAGAACTGCTGTGAAATAATTTCATAAAGTACTTAGCACGTTGTTTGGCCGTAGTAGGTGCTTGGGGATATTAGCTCCTATCATGGAAAGTTCTTTGCATGGTAACCGAGGCTCTCCCCCAGCCTTCCATGTAACAATCTTTTCCTCTTTCTCATGAAAAGCAGAAGCAATGAACAGATTGAGATCAATATCTATTGTTTTTGCAATAAGATCTCTATCCTCTCCCAGAGAAAGTTGCCTATCTGCAACCAGGGAGGAGAACATATGTTCATAAATCCTCTGCTTAAAATCACACTCTGTTTAGAAATCCTTCTTGCCCGCTTTTCTTGTTTCAATTCAAGAATGGGAAGAAACCATCAGTGTCCAGTAAGGAGTGTTGAAATGAAATGTCACCATGGGTGCTCAATTTCTGCTCTGAGAAAACTAATGAAGAGACTTAGCAAGGCTTCCTTCCCCGGCACAGTCACTCGGATGGGCTTGCAGACTTGCAACCATCCCCACCAAACGGGAGATATTACCCCTGGGGTGAGGACGGCTTGCAAAAGTGCAGAAGCCCGCATTCAGGCTGAAGACAGAAGGAACGGGGCACTTACCTGGAGGATGCACCTGGCACGATAAGGGATAAGGGGAATACAAAACCCTTCTGACTGGTCTTGGCCTCCTGAGATCCTGCCATTTCCATTATTTGGGATGGAAAAGAACTGCCACACAGAGGAGAAGCTTCCGTCATCAGCCTTGTCTTGCTCAACAACCAACCAGAACAGGGCGAGGCTCACACCAACTTGGCAAACCATCAAACTATCACACTTGTGAGCCAGCCTCGGCCTAGGCCTACTTCAGGGCCTCCCCTGCCGTGGACAAAGGTCTGAGTGACACTGCCCCTCAGGCAAAACCCCCCGTCACCCCTGACGGCAACATCACCCCATCGCAGCCTGAGACGTTCACTTCCCCTCCGTTCCGGCCCCAGCAGCCTTGGGAAACCAGCACTGTCCGTCCCAGACATTGTTGCACAGGCACTTAGCACGTTTGGTCCCCACCCTATGAAGTGCGTACCTGCCCCCATTACAGGGTGGAAGAAACCGAGCCTCAGAGATATTAAATCACCAGTTGATAAGTGGAAGAGCTTGCAGGTCTGTGTGACTACAATACCCATGTTCTTCCCCACTGCAGGAGAAAGTTTCCACATATTTAAGACTCTTGTTCCTATGGCCTGAGAAGAGCAGAACAGGCCAGCAAATTCTGGCTCATTGAATGGGCTTCACGTCCCTCACTCTTCAATAGGAAGATACCCTATTAGCACCATTCAAAATATCTACTCTCTCGGGAGAGGACAGGCTGTCTGTCCCCCAGGCTTCCTCAATTAACCCTAAGAGTGCCCGGCACATCATTCCTCAGTCATCACGAACTGCTTTCATGCTCAGCTGTGTATTCACTAAATAGTCAGACTTCTTTGTGCGATGCCCTGCTGTCCTCAGAGTGGCCTGCAGCCCTTATTATTATCCCTCATTTGGCCTGGCCCAGAGCCCAGAGCAAATGGTCCGGCTCCAGGGGCCAAGCTCCCCTGGTTTCCTCACTTGAAGACCAGTTGGTCACCTGCCATACCCATTCTGCCTGCTGCTCCATGCAGATGATTCTTCAATGGACATTTCCTTTTTTATTTTTTTTCAAATGCACCATGCTTCTTTTTAAATTTTTTAAATATTTATTTATTTTTGAGAGAGAGAGAAAGAGAGAGAGAGAGAGATTGAGAGTAGGGGAAGGGCAGAGAGAGAGGGAGACACAGAATCTGAAGCAGGCTCCAGGCTCCGAGCTGTCAGCAGCGCGGGGCTCAAACCTACAAGTGGTGAGATGGTGACCTGAGCCGAAGTCAGACGCTTAACTGACACTCAACACCACATTTCTTGAGAAACCCCCTGGTTTACAAGGCTTTGAAGAATTTTCAAACAGCCATCACTTGGGCTTCCATTGTGCCCCTGGAGTATCAGCCAGGAAGGACAGAGAATCGGGGCCACATTTGTTGTCCTGTAATGACTATCAATTTCAGTAATTTCAGGTATTGGCAGCAAGAGGGGATAAAGCCTTGTGTGTTTGCTTCTTATTGGCTTAAGGCCTTTGCTCACGCCATGTCCAGTCTCGTTAATCAGTAACTGCAGACAGCTGTCTATGAAGGATGTTTTTATGGTGTTTTAATGTCATTTTATTTTCCTAAAATGTCAGTAGACAGCCAGGGAAATTTCCCTCCAGAGTCCTTGGAGGTCGTTTTGAACTGAAATCACCACTGCCACGGTCGGCTGAGCAGTAAATGAAAAACAGTGTTATATGTCAAATTAATATTTTAGGGAAGAAATTGTGCAAACCTGCACGGGCAGGTCTGCCCACACGATCTCCAGCTTTAGCCACAAAGCTGTGCAGTGATGACCGAGAGGCTGGAGCCAGATGTGGCCATCAGTCAGGAAGCTAAAATCAGAGATGGGAAGAAAGAATAATGATGAATGGGGTCTCTATTCATCAACTGTGGCAGACTAGCGGGACAAGAGAAGGCAGGAGTGGTGACATTTTTAAATGGATTCATTTTGAGAGGACCGCTGGGTGAAAAGCAGCACTTACTGGAAACCACTGCCGAAGCCTTAAGAAAAAATAAGATATTGTAGAAGAATAATGAGCGATAAGGCAACTCGATAAAAGCAGGTTACAAAACCAAATGTACAATATTATTCAATTTTTGAGAACTGTATGAGGGAGAAAGAGAGCACATGTATGAGTGAGTGGCAGGATTTTTATGCCTGATTTTACAATAGAATGTTCTGGAGTTTTAAAAAAACATGTTGTTTAATGTTTTATTTGAGAGACAGTGAGCAAGCAGGGAAGAGGCAGAGAGAGAGGGAGAGAGAAAAACAATCCCAAGCAGGCTTCACGCTGTCAGCTCAGAGCCTGATGCAGGGTTCGATCCCATGACCCCTGAGATCATGACCTGAGCTGAAATTGAGTTGGAGACTTAACCGATTGAGCCACCCAGGTGCTCTTAGAATTTTTTTTTTTTTTTAGTACAGATCCCTTGCCCCTGCCCCTAGAGGTTCTGACTTTTTAGATTTGGTTTGGGGCCCAGGTATTTGTATTTTTAAATCTTCCTAGGTGGTTCTGATGCACTGTCAGCATTGAGACCACTTATACAAAGAAAAGAAAAAGATCAGAGAGAGCTCTTTCTTAAAAGATCAGAGAGAGATTTACGAAGTATTTCTGATTTAATATTTTTCCTGTGGTTTTTCTATACTCTTACATACTGGTCTATGAACACGCATTCTGTCTACCATCAGAAAAGGTTACTAATAAAAATTATAACTGAACTGGTTAGGAAAAATTGTCCCAAGCAACAATGACAATGACTAACATTCATTAAGTGCTTCCGGGGAGCCAGACACAGTTTTATTAATGTCATTTAGTCCTTATAATAACTCTGTGACATAGCCACTAGTATTTCAGCCATTTTACAGATGAAGAAGGCGGAGGTCCAAGAGGTTCTAATCCAGACAACGAAAGAGTGAGGGACACAGTATGAACCCAGGAACTGTTACTTGAGAGACTGAGGCTTACCCCCACGTGCTTCTTTGTTCCAGTTGGAAGAAGTCCTGTGGTCCAGACGCCCACACCATCCCCAGCCCTCTGGATGCTGGGCCTCACCTGTGCCTGCCGTGAGCTTCCCAGGAGTTGGAGTTATGGGAAATTTCCTCTCTGCATTCCCACTGAGTTTGCTTCTCATCTAAAAGGAAGAATTCTGTCACCACGCAAGCTAGAGAGAGGGAGAAAGGAGAAATTGAACACCACGGGATGCTGGCTGGCTATTAAGGCACATCATAAGTAAGAATCCTTTGAAACAATTCTTAATTGGTTTTTTACTGGAGTGGAGAATGAAGTTCTATGAAGTGCCCCAGGCCATTATGCGTGTGGATAAGGATGTGAAATTCTCCAGGGTTTTCCCCTCCTCTGAGAGGACAGAATCAGATTATTTCCCCATTTCACAGATGGTGGTGCCCAGTCATTAAGGGATTTCCTGAAAGAAAAGAATGAGCTGACACCTCCAGCCACAGATCTTGGCTAGTCCAAAAGGGGTTGGGAAATTTTAAAGATTTTTAAAAATCGGCAGGGGTTTAAATTCTTTGTCTTCATGGTAAGGCTGCCAGATAAAATACAACATGCCCAGTTAGATTTGAATTTCAGATAGCAAATAATTTTTCGTAAAAGACATCCCAAACATTGCACAGAACATAATGATACTAAAAAATTATTCATTGTTTATCTGAAATTCAAATTTAACTGGGAGGCTTGTGTTTTTGTTTGCTAAACATGGCAGCTCTATTTCATGGGAAAGAATTTTATTTTCTCCTTGGGGATTGCTTTCCCTCCTGAGTGTCATTGGCTCAATGATTTGAAGAAGTATAAGCCAGAAAATTAATCCCAGCTCATCCTTTTGTGCCAAGCACCCAGAGAGCCACCTCCTTTGGTAGCCAGTAAGTATTACATATTCCCAACGCACATGCGCGTGCACAGCCTATGCACGTACCATTTGCATATGCTCACATACCTTCAAATACACTCGCTAACACGCTTTCACATATACATATGCAAATGCATAATGCAGGGTGCAAACGGACTTCTCCGAACATTCTAAAATGCAAATCTCTCACTCTGTTCAGATTGTCATGGCTTTCTAAAAACATAATTTTCCTTTTTGGTCAGTTCTTGCCTATTCAAGAAGAAAGTCATATGCCCGGCTTGCTTTATATGCCCAGCTACACTGACTGGCTTCCCACAGGAAAGGTTGGCAGTAAGACCTTATCTCTTGTATTTCAGAAATTTTGAACTTTTCTTTCCTTGCCATTGCATTTAATTGCTTCTTTTAAGTATAAAGGGGATGACAATTGTCTTAGCATCAGATAATGAGTGTAATTTACTAACAAGGAAAAATACAAACTACGAATTGAAACCTTGAGCCATTTAATAAAAATACTTGAAAATAAGAGAGAAGAAAACATTTTTTTCAAGATTTGTTCATCTTTGAGAGAGAGAGAGCACAAGCAGGGAAGGGGCAGAGAGAGAGGGGAACAGAAGATCCGAAGCGGGCTCTGTGCTGACAGCAGTGAGCTGGATGCGGGGCTCCAACTTACAGCCGTGAGACCATGACCTGAACTGAAGTCAGACACTCAACCAACTGAGCCACCCAGGTGCCCCGAGAAGAAAATGTTTAAAGTATTCTCAAGAAGCAATATAGCATAGTGGCCAAATGAATAATTCCTGGAGTCAGGCTGCTTGAGGAACCAGCGGGCCAAGTTATTTAACTTCATCTGTAAAGTGGAAACAATAAGAGATGCATGAAATAGTGCCTGGCACACAGTATTTACTATGATAATTACCTCTTACTCGCTAGACACAGGGGTAACCTCTTTACCCATATAATCCCATTTGGTTGTCAAAATAAGCCTGTGAAATATGTGGACATGAGGAAACTGAGACTCAGAGAGGTTAAGAGACTTGCCCAATGTCACACAGCTAACATGCAGGAAAACCAAGATTTAAGTACCAGTCTCAGTATTAAGCCACTGTTCTCTTGATTACCCAATGTTAAGATGACAACGAGTGGAAAGCACACAGGTGGCAAGGTGGTAGGTCCTCAGGGAGGGGAAAGAAGGTCATTGCTTCTGTAGAATAGGGCTGGGAAGGTATCAGGAGAAGTTTGGACTGGTGTATTTGGTAGAGAGGACGGTACCCGTAGTAGTTATAATACAGTAGTGCAGTTACAGACCTTACACAAACATTTGCCAAGCAGACCAAGACCTCACTCTCTTGTGACCTCTCCAAGCAAATCCCCAGGAGATGGAAAGCCCTGACCCAGGACTCTGCCTGACCTTCCATCATGAAAAAAAAAATTTTTTTTTTTAATGTTTATTTATTTTTGAGAGAAAGAGAGAGTGCGAGCAGGGGAGGGCAGAGAGAGAGAGCGAGACATAGAATCCGAAGCAGGCTCCAGGCTCTGAGCCATCAGCACAGAGCCCGGCATGGGGCTGGAAACCATGAACCATGAAATCACGACCTGAGCTGAAGTCAGAAGCTCAACCGACTGAGTCCCCCAGGCGCCCCCTGACTCTCCACCATTAAGGCAATACAAGCACTGGGTCCACCAGCACTGGGCATGTTCTAGCAGCAGCCCCAGGACTCTATCCTCAACTTTCTTCATTTACAGACTTACCCTGGAAAATTCCATCCAGTCCCTTTAATAACATCTATAAACTGATGAATTCCACCTTTATGGCCCTACCCAGACCTCTCCTCTGTACTCACACTCACAACTGCCTAATCAGCCTCTCCTTGGATATCAAATAAAGATCCCAGGCTTAACAAGTTCAAAACAGGATTTTACCCCAAAACCAGGCTTTGCCTCCAGTGCCCCGGACTCAACATTTGACAACTCCATTCCTCCGGCTGTGCACACCTAAAGATTTGGAGGGGCCCTTCCCTCCCCATTTCTTGTGCCCCTGCGATCCAGTCCACCAGCTCCCCCTCCTTCAGTCCCATTGGCTCCACCCACAATCAAACCACCTCCCACCTCCCACCCTTACCAGCCCGGGCTGTGCCATCTTGTCTCCATCAGGACCACCGCAGCTGCCCCCCAGCTGCCTCCCTGCTCCCATTCTCGCTGGGACATGGTATGTTCTTCACACCACAGTGGGAGCATCCGCATTAAACTGGGCTGCAGGGGGCGGGGCGCCTGGGTGGCTCAGTCGGTTAAGGACTTTGGCTCAGGTCACGATCTCATGCTTTATGGTTCCAGCCCTGCATCGAGCTCTGCACTGACAGCTCGGAGCCTGGAGCCTGCTTCGGATTCTGTGTCTCCTTCTCTCTCTGCCCCTCCCCGACTTGCACTCAGTCTCTCTCTGTCTCTCAAAAATAAACATTAAAAAAAAATGTGATGAGGATCACCTCACTCCTTTCTCAGACCCCCCCCCCCAAACCCTGTCATCTCAGGAAAAGCAAAGTCCTTACAATGACCCCAAAAGCACACCACAAACTGAAGCCCTCCCCCAGCTGTCTCGGACCCCTGCCCCACCCCTGTTCCCAGCTCCATCTGCTCTAGCCATGAGGCCACCAAGTCAGTCTTTGCCACACGGGCTCATGCACTAGGGCCTTTGCACTTGCTCTTCTCTCTCCAGGACACACCCCCACCATTGTGTCCCTGGGACTCACTTCAAATCTCCATACTTTTCAGTCTCACCCTATCACCCTCCTTTGATAAGACTACCCTGTCCCCACGCTGCCCTCAGCCTGGGCACTCGCTCTCCCTCAACCTGACTCTTGTTTCTTACAGCATTTATCACATGTCCCTCTCTGATGTGAGCTATTCATTTATTTGCCTATGTGGATAGGGATTTTGTCTGTTTTATTGACTGCTATTTCCTTCATATCCTCAATGTCCAGAAGCCTACACTCACCCAGGAGGTGCTCAATAAATATTTGGTGAGTGAGTGACTGGAAGGAGCCCCCTGGACATTCTCAGGCCGGCTGAACAGAATACCTCTGCTGACTGCCTCAGCGTCCCCTCCCAAAAGCCAGGCTTTCAGAAGACCCCCCACTCGGCACTCCTTTCCACCTCAGCAGTCAAAATTCCAGGAGGATCCTCAACAAATCTTTTCTGGCTGGCTTGCTTTTTGTGTTGTGTATTTCTGCTTGGTTTGCTTTGGCAGACGAGACTCGTGGGCAAAGGCACGTGCAAGTCTCCCCACGTGTCTCTGGCTCCCCGTGTGCCCTTGATGACAATGTGCCTGGGGACACTGTTCTAAAGGCTCAAGCAGAGAGGGAAGCAGATCCATCTACCCTGACGGCCACTTCCATGGAAACTCCAAATGAGTTCAAAAGGCCAGTGCTGGCAAGACTTTCTGCTGTTATGATCCCTTCTTGTGGTTCCAGGGTTGTGTCTGCAGGCACACGCTGAGAGGAGGCCTTTTGAATCGAAGGCACCAAGAAGGAAGCTTTCCAAAACCCAAATTAATTATCTTCAGCAGCATTGAAATAATTATTATTACGTGACGAGTTTGCCAGTCAGACCCTCTGGCACATCCACTAGGAACCCTCAAACCATGCCAAGTGCTCAGCCTCTCGGCTGCAGAAATCCCTTCACCCCCAAAATAAGCAAGGCTATTAGAAAAAGGCTTTGCTGATTCGGCTGGGAGGCCTCGTCCACTCCTCTGGCATCTGCAGCGTCTCCTAACAGCTAAAGTGTCACCTACAGAAGCCTGGGATGAACACCGAACATTGCAAGTGTTCAACACACAACATTTAAATGTACATGGGATCTTTTCCTAAAAGGATCCAGGTAATCCAATCACAGCTGTGATTAGCCATTTCTCCAGAATTATACCGGCCAGACTGCCTATGCTTAATGGGTCCCAGTTTCTTTTAAATTAAAAAAAAATTTTTTTAATGTTCATTTATCTTTGAGAGAGAGAGTGCAAGGGAGGGGCAGACAGAGAGGGAGACACAGAATCTGCAGCAGGCTCCAGGCTCTGAGCTCATGCCAGCTGAACAGAGTGCTAGAACCCACAAAATGTGAGATCATGACCTGACCCGAAGTCGGAGACTCAACTGAGCCACCAGTCTCCCCCGGGTCCCAGTTTCAAGGATGCACATTCTATTCGGATAAAGAGGATGATGTCCCCATGGAGTTGCTTGAACTCTGCTTTTTTCCGACACTCAGATCAGTCATGACCTCTTTAATATTTCTGAACATGCAACCAGGAC